TTGTATGTAATTTCCCTATGCTTTTCCACTCACACCAAACCAGTTTGATATCTATTTGTATGTAATTTCCTATGCTTTTCCACTCATACCAAACTGGCTTGATATCTATTTGTATGTAATTTCCCTATGCTTTTCCACTCACACCAAACCAGTTTGATATCTATTTGTATGTAATTTCCCTATGCTTTTCCACTCACACCAAACCAGTTTGATATCTATTTGTATGTAATTTCCCTATGCTTTTCCATTCACACCAAACCAGTTTGATGGTCACTTGGTTTATATTTTCAAAGTAAAACTTGTGACTTCCTGTTAGCATCCTACTATTTTCATTTTGAAGGAAAAATATTTTGTAAATATCAATAACACTACATTATTGTTATCATCCATTCCTTACAAAGTTCCAACTTGGTCTTCTTGATAATTCTCTCAATGTTGAAATTCACAGCAGTTTCTTTTATTGGCCAAGCCATAACTTATATATATTTTTGAAATTTCTTTTATCAAAAAGCATGTAAACCTAAGATCCTACAAAAGTAATACATCACAAAACATATCAGCTTTGTTACATTGGGAAACGATAAGTCACATCCCAACTAAAGGTCTTCAATACAACGTACAATTTGGTGATACATGTTCATCTGATTTCAAATACAAATACAATTGTTTTTAAGTAGTGAAATATATAAAATAGAGATGACACTCTTCACATTGACCTGTAAATATACCAAAAAAATAAGATCTGCAAGAAATTTTGCTATCTCAGTATTCTGTATACTTAAAAAGAAACATGTTTTAGCAACTTATAACTATTTTTAATATCTAAACATTTTCCACTTCACTTTTCTCAGTGAAAGACTGACACTACTAAATTCTGATCCATGTTTATAAAAATGATGTCACTGTTATTCTGTAGAAGACATTAGAAAACTTTCATTGGTTAAAAGTTGTTTCTCTTTATTTTTTTAATACAACATTTACAAGTATTTCTCAACAATCTAAACTATTTTTAAATGTAAGTTCGATAAACAGATCTAAGAAAGTATAGAAAACAAACTTTTGTTAGTTATACTGGTTCAGTTATCTAGTGAGGGAAATAGTTTTTGTTAGTTATACTGGTTCAGTTATCTCGTGAGGGAAATCGTTTTTGTTAGTTATACTGGTTCAGTTATCTAGTGAGGGAAATCGTTTTTGTTAGTTATACTGGTTCAGTTATCTAGTGAGGGAAATCGTTTTTGTTAGTTATACTGGTTCAGTTATCTAGTGAGAGAGATTGTTTTTGTTAGTTATACTGGTTCAGTTAT